GGGTTGAGGGTTGAGGGTTTAGGGTTTAGGGTTTAGGGTTTAGGGTTTAGGGTTTAGGGTTTAGGGTTCTGGGTTCTGGGTTTATGGGTTTAGGGGCTTAGGGTTCCAAATTTAGGGTTAGGGCTTAAGATGGGTGCAGGGTAACTGCATCTATATGTAGGGTGCATGTATGACTCAAACTCGGGCACAGGAGAGGTTTGCATAGAACTGCTCATACGGAGTCCGCGGGTGCCCAAGACCTTAAACCCTAAACCTTGGGATGTTCCCCTTATACTACCAGTCTCCTTAATATAGGATTATAATATAAGGGGGGGGGGGGGGTACTATAAGGGAGAATACAAAATATCCCAAGGGCCTCCTTAGAAACCCTAAACCCCAAACCCTCGAATGCGCTTAACACAAGAAAAAGCTGACAGCAACCCCAATGGCAGCACGCCACCTGCCGCCCCGAGAGGCGCCAGCTGCCAGCGGCTGGGAGCCTTGTTTAGGGTTTAGGGGTTTAGGGGTTTAGGGGTTTAGGGGTTTAGGGGTTTAGGGGTTTAGGGTTTAGGGTTTAGGGTTTAGGGTTTAGGGTTTAGGGCTTAAGGCTTAGGGTTTAGGGCTTAAGGCTTAGGGTTTAGGGTTTAGGGGTTTAGGGGTCTAGGGGTTTACGGGTTTACGGGTTTAGGGGTTTAGGGTTTAGGGTTTAGGGTTTAGGGCTTAAGGCTTAGGGTTTAGGGTTTAGGGGTTTAGGGGTTTAGGGGTTAGGGTTTAGGGTTTACGGTTTAGGCTTTAGGGTTTAGGGCTTAGGGTTTAGGGTTGAGGGTTTAGGGTTGAGGGTTGAGGGTTTAGGGTTGAGGGTTGAGGGTTTGGGGTGGAAGGCTTGGGTTGGCCCGAAATCCGACACCCCCAGAACTGAGCCATACAGTAACCCCCAGACATAACAAACGGCTCCAGCATGAAAGCCCCGCCCATCAACAAAAACGAAAAAACAACAGCAACAGAACCCGCAACATTATAGCCTTAAGCGCCCCCCCCCCCCTCCCCGCCCCCTCAACCCCCGTTTCTCAAGCCCCTATTCTGCACAATAGTAATTAGACTGGTAATCCTAATACTACTAATATTGCTAGTAATACTAATAATACAAATAATACTAATAATACTACTAAAACGAAGAACAATTATAATACTGATAATACCAATAATAATAATAACAACAACAATAACAACAATAAGAATAACAATGACAAGAAGAATACTAATAATCATCGGAACAGTAAGAATCGCAACGATATTAATAATGGTAACAATAGCAATACAAGAAATAAAAGTAACACCCTGAAGCTACAACCGGACAGCGCCAGCTCCTGGGGTCCCGGCTTTGTGCCTAAGCAGCGGCCCTGCGGCCGACGGTCCTTAGACTTAGACTCACCCCAGAACCCGGAGAGTTTTAGGCTTAGGGTTTGGGGCTTGGGGTTTGGGGTTTGGGATTTGGGGTTTGGGGTTTAGGGCTTAGGGTTTAGGGTTTAGGGTTTAGGGTTTAGGGTTTAGGGTTTAGGGTTTAGGGTTTAGGGTTTAGGGTTTAGGGCTTCGGCGTCGGGCATGGGGCTTAGGGTGAAGGGCTTTGGTCTAAGACCCTAGAAGCCTTTTGCCGCAAGCCATAAGCCCTCAACCCTAAACCCTAAACCCTAAACCCCAAACCCTAAACACTAAACCCTAAACCCTAAACCCTAAACCTTAAACTCCTTGAACCCTGAGCCTGAAAGAGGGGGGGGCGGGGGTACGTTCGGGCTACGAGATCTTTAAGGGGATCTTCTGGTTTGGGGCATGCGGGCATTTGAGTTGGGAGGTTTAGAGGTTCAGTTTAGGGCTCAGGGGTTTAGGGGTTTTGGGGCTTTTGGGTTTCGGGTTTCACGTTTAGGAGGTGCCCAAACGTTTGCTGGACGCCCAGAACGACAACGGTCTGTTGGCGTTGAGGCTTCAGATCTCGGCGGTCATGGTCGGCTTCAGCTCAAAAGGCAAAACCCTCAACAACGGCACGCTTCCCTCCCCGGCCATGTAGGTAGCTAGAAGCTTGAGAAGGTCATCTGACTTGAGTTGGGCCGCCGTCTTTTTCAGCTTGCGCAGATGCTTTTCCGCGGCTTGAAGCGTCTTGGACTTTAACGTCTTTTCCTGGCTCAGCAATGAATGCAGCGATCTTTGGGTGAATGTAGCCCGGGAAGCACACTTGGGCGCCGGCTCATTCGGAAAGAAGGTCCAAACTCTTAACCCTAAAACGCAAACCCGAGACCCCTAAGCCAAACAAAAACCAAGACGTTTCAATGGTACCCCCTAAGCCCTGAACCCTAAAACCCTAAAACCCTAAAACCCTAAAACCCTAAAACCCTAAAACCCTAAAACCCTAAAACCCTGAAACCCTAAAACCCTAAAACCCTAAAACCCTAAAACCCTAAAACCCTAAAACCCTAAAACCCTAAAACCCTAAAACCCTAAAACCCTAAAACCCTGAACCCTAAACCCTAAACCCTAAACCCTAAGCCCAAGCCGCAACCCCCCCGGGCCAGGCGAGCGGCCGATGGCAACGCCGAGGCAGCGCCGACTGAGACGGCCGCTGAGGCATCTCGGCACGGACGGGGCCACGAAGGCAAAATAATTCAACTGAGTGTTATTTAGGGTTTAGGGTTTGGGGTTTAGGGTTTGGGGTTTGGGGTTTAGGGTTTAGGGTTTAGGGTTTAGGGTTTAGGGTTTAGGGTTTAGGGTTTAGGGTTTAGCGTTTAGGGTCGGCGTTTGGGGTTTAGGGTTCCTGTAGGGCGTAGGATGTGGTGTTTATACTGCGAAGTTTGGGGATTGGGACTTAGGCCTTCTCTGGGCTGAGAGGTTCGCTTTGGGATCTGGCTCAGGGTTTAGGATTTAGGGTCTTCGGGTCCCGGGTCTTGGGTTTAGGTTTTAGAGTTTAGAGTCTTCGGGGCAAGCAAGATGCAGTTGGAGGCTCAGGGATTTGGCTGACGTAGCTAGAGTAATGGTCGTGGCCTAGAAGCGGGGGTTTATTTTAACCGCACTTCTGACGACCATGAACCTTCAAGTAAGGAGGTTCATTGAAATTAGGGCACCGTTTGCTTTTCGCGTTCCTCATGAACGCGTCCCCAAAAAAGCTTAAGGGCTTGAGGTTTAGCACTCTGGGTTTGCGAAACTCCTTGATTGCCCTCGAAAAACCCAAACCCTAACACACCGGCGCCCTCTCGCCAAGCCCCCCAAAAAACCAAAACCTTGGAACCCTAAACCCTAAACCCTGGACCCTGGAAACCCTACATCCTACGGACGATATCCAAAGCCCTAAACCCGCCCCGTGCCCCGTGGCCTCAGAGTCTGCACGGAGCGCGAAAGAACCGCCGGACCGCCCAGCATGGTTTAGGGTGTAGGGGGTTTCGGGTTTAGGGTTTAGGGTTTAGGGTTTAGGGTTTAGGGTTGAGGGTTGAGGGTTTAGGGTTTAGGGGGATACCCGGAGCTTGACTCGCTGATTCGGGTTCAAGCTGGGAGTTTTGAGCACGAGCAAGCCATGATTTGAGGAGCTCAGGGTTTAGGGGTCTGGGGCTTAGTCACGAACTAGGGTCTTGGAGGGCTTCAGGGTTTTAAGGTTTGCACATCTCGAGCCGTAAGACAGCTTGGCACCCCGGTAACCATCTGGGAGTTTTACGAAAATTGAAGGACCCCCAATATAAACCCCCAAAAAAAGACCCCAACAAGGTACACCCAAATTTCGGAAACCCCTAAACCGTAAAACCCTAAAACCCTCAACCCTGAACCCTAAACCCTAAACCCGAAGTTCGGAAACCCCCATCTTGCAATAAGGCAAAAAGACCCAAACCGCACCTCCTGGCTGCCCAGCACTTGCTAGCCCAGCAACCATACTATCATGAGGGCACCCTTCTTTGGGTTTAGGGTTTAGGGTTTAGGGTTCAGGGTTCAGGGTTCAGGGTTTAGGGTTTAGGGTTTAGGGTTTAGTATTTAGGGTTAGGGTTTAGGGTTTAGGGTTTAGGGTTTAGGGTTTAGGGTTTAGGGCTTAGGGCTTAGGGCTTAGGGCTTAGGGTTTAGGGTTTAGGGTTTAGGGTTTAGGGTTTAGGGTTTAGGGTTTAGGGTTCAGGGTTCAGGGTTCAGGGTTCAGGGTTCAGGGTTCAGGGTTTAGGGTTTAGGGTTTAGGGTTTAGGGTTTAGGGTTTAGGGTTTAGGGTTTAGGGTTTAGGGTTAGTCTAGGGTCCTTGAACCAAAAAAAGAGGGTGAAAGGTACCACTGGGCTACCAAGACAGCTGTCCTCCAAGCTTTGCAAGGTTCCCCTTAGTATGCTGCGAATATGGCCCTTATCCTACCTTAGGGATCTTTCAAAAGTGTCCCCAAAACCCAAGGGTACAACCTTAGTGGCCCAAGGTAGCTAAACACTAAACCCTAAACCCACTATAGGCATTATGCGTTCGAAGCCAGGGGACTACACGGCTACTCATGCTGCTCATCTTGCCTAGGCTACCACGACGCCGAAGGTCCCAGCCAAAGCTTCACTATCTATCCGTACAGGGTTTAGGGTTGAGAGTTTAGGGTTTAGGGTTTAGGGTCGAGGGCTTGTGGTTTTCGGCTTCGGCGCCTTTTGAAGCAGGCCTCTCTCCACAATCTTCCCTTGTAAGGTTCATGGCTTGGATGTAGGTGTTAGTTGGGCAGCTAGGTTTGGGGTTTACGCAAAGCCTCAACCCTGAGCACCGAAACTTTTGCGGTGCAGCCCGAAATCGCTGAAGTCCACACGGTAGGCCATGTTTGCCCAGGTGCAGCATGCGTCTATGCTCTTCATTCTGCATTTGAGCCCCCCGGCGCAAGAGCTCCACCAAACCTCTAAGTCTCTAGTGGCGTAGGGTCTTGGGCATTCAGGAGGGTTAAGGGTTGGGGTTTTGGGGTTTAGGGCACTTGGGGTTCAGGGCTTGTGGGGGTTCAGAGGGAAAGTTTCGGTTTTCGAGTATGGAGGCTCCGCCGCCCCAGAACTTAAGCACCCCGGCCTGCTAACAAAAAAGACAGAGATAGGGGGCTCTGCGCACAATGCGCGGGCGACGTGCGCTCAGCAAACTCCTGCTCGGCCTCTTGGTGGCAACCTTGGGTCGGAGTTTGGATTTAGGGTTTAGGGTCTAGGGTCTAGGGTTTGGGGTTTGGGGTTTGGGGTTTGGGGTTTAGGGTTTGGGGTTTGGGGTTTAGGGTTTAGGGTTCAGGGTTTGGGTGTAGGGTAGTCAGGGCTACCTTTGGGCGTTCCTGTTTGTGGGTTCTATAGGGTCCAGAGGTCGCGATGTCGGCCTCATCGGTGGTAAAAATGCCTTCACTATAGGGTCTGGGAGGGTTTAGGGTTTAGGGTTTCAGGTTTAGGGTTTAGGGTATAGGTTTTTTTCGGGTTTAGGGTTTAGGGTTTAGGGCTTAGGGCTTAGGGTTTAGGGTTTAGGGTTTAGGGTTTAGGGTTTAGGGTTTAGGGTTTAGGGTTTAGGGTTTAGGGTTTAGGGTTTAGGGTTTAGGGTTTAGGGTTTAGGGTTTAGGTCGTTTTTTTTTTTGGAAGTTTAGGGTTTACTTCGGAAGGGTGCGGGGTTTCGGGCTTAGCACAGACCCGCACGGGCCCAAGCCCTACTTAAGGCGATCTTCCACTCGGAGGTTCGTGGAGAGTGTTGCCTGGGCCTGGGGGTAAGAAGCATCTCTGTATCACCTGTCCTAAGGTACTGCAAACCTTTTCGGAACTGCCCTATGACCCCTCAAGCAATTTATTACAATCCGCGAAGTGCCGTGCCTTCGAGCCTGTGACTCGGAGACCCCTGGAGGATCTATCTAGTGGTTCAGGGGCTGGTTCTATAAAGTAGGTTTCTTTGTACCGTTAAGAAGGACATGGCCAGGAGTAACTTCTGAGGTGCAACTACAATGAGGGTCTAGGGTTTGTAGGTTGGGGTCCAGGGGCCCCACATATTCCGTACTACTTGAGGTCTTTGGTTCTTGAGGTTTTAGGGATTTGGGTTTAGGGTTGAGGGTTTAGGGCTACAGGCCCCGGGGCTTTTCAACCAGCATGAACCACGTAGGCCTGGAAGTCAGACCATACATAGGCTTCCGAACCCTAACCCTAAACCTTGCTGGCCATGGGATGCAGCAGTATTTTCCTCACCCCGAAGAAGAGTCACCTAAACCCTAAACCCTAAACCCTAAACCCTAAACCCTAAACCCTAAACCCTAAACCCTAAACCCTAAACCCTAAACCCTAAACCCTAAACCCTAAACCCTAAACCCTCTCACTCGCATCGACAGCGAGGCGCCCATGTTCCGGAAGTGCAGCAGCTCTTCCATGGTGATGTCCTTGCTCCCGAAACCCTCATACCCGAAACAAGGGTTTAGGGTTTAGGGGTTAAGGTTTAGGGTTTAGGGTTTAGGGTTTAGGGTTTAGAGTTTAGGGTTTAGGGTTTAGAGTTTAGGGTTTAGGGTTTAGGATTTAGGGTTTAGGGCCAGACACCCGAAACCCCCCTCCTGTTTCCACATAGATCTTAGGGCAGTTACATGGTCCCAAGTGTAGTCAGTCCCTTATCCTTGTCAAGAGTTCAGACATGTGGGCCCTTGAGACTTACACGGTATATAAGAGGTATTCATCCAGGTGCTTCCCAATAAAGGGCCCATGCCAAGGGTCCTTCCAAAAACCCCTAAGAATAGGGTTTAGGTTTTGGGTCTAGGGTTTAAAGCTTTAGGATTTCGGGCTTAGGGTTTAGGATTGCAGGGGCTGCAAGGCAAAGAATACCCCTCCGCCTTCCCGGCATCCCGGCTCTGCACTTTAGGATGTCAGAATTTCCATCTGAAGCCCGAAAACCCCAACCCTAAGCCCTTGAGTCTCTGAAGCACAGAAACCCTAAGCCCTGAAGCCCGAAAACCCCACACCCCGGACCCTAAACCCCAAGAGTTGAGCCCTGGAACCCTGAAGCACGCAAAACCCCGAACCCTAAACCCTAAACCCGAAACCCTAAACCCTAAACCCCTAAACCCTAAACCCTAAGCCCTAAACCCTAAACCCTAAACCCCACCCTAAACCCCCAAAACCCTAAACCCCAAGCCCTGGAACCCAGTCCTTCCGGTTCAGCCACTTCCATCGGGAGCTCTGCTCTTCTTTCCTGCGCTTGGCGCTGGCTTTCTCCGCCGACCTGGATGCTTCGGGATTCCAAGGCTTTAGGGTTCAAAAAACTAGGGTTTAGAGTTTAGGGTTTAGGGTTTAGGGCTTAGGGCTTAGGGCTTAGGGCTTAGGGCTTAGGGCTTAGGGCTTAGGGTTTAGGAAAAAAACCACATAAACACCCAAAAAACCCTTCCATCCACTCCTCCCCGCCTGGCCTCGCGGCAGCCTCTTCGATCCGGCGCCGGCGCGCCTCCGCGCGTGCGGCGGCGGCCTCTTCGTGGTGAAGGTCTTCGGGGCTGTGGAGGTTCCCTGAACCCTAAACCCGAAACCATAAACCATAAACCCTGACCCTAAACCCTTAACCCTAAACCCTAATTAGGGTTTAGGGACTTGAGTGGTCGAGTTCCGGCTTTGGGGGAGAATTCGGGAGGCTCATACGAGTAATGATAACCCAAAGATGCCCTCCCTTCTGCGAGAAGCATGTACTCAAAGCTCTCTTTGCACCCGGAGGTCAGTTGATCAGGGTCTACCATCTTATGGGGTTTAGGGTTTAGGGTTTAGGGTTTAGGGTTTAGGGTTTAGGGTTTAGGGTTTAGGGTTTAGGGTTTCGGGTTTAGGGTTTAGGGTTTAGGGCGCAGGGCTTAGGAGGAGGGAGCTGGGCTTCATATCGAGCTACCCCTACTCCTTCGACCATGAACTCTGTGGGGTTGTGCCTTGGAGCCTTAAGGTTGTACCCTTAGGTTTTGGGGGACCCTTTGAAAGATCCCTAAGGAATTATGGGGGGCCATATTGGGAGTATGTGAAGGGGAACCTTTAGGGGTAACCTTAGGGGTACGAGCCTTAATCCGTTGATGAACCCAACACCCTGAGACCCGAACACACAACCAAAATCCTACACCGTCAGGGCCCACACCCTAAACACTAAGCCCCCTCTCAGGGCCCGCCCCCCCCCCCCCCCAAAGGCCCTACAGCCCCTGAAGCCTTAACCCTTCAGAAACGACGTAACGGGCCCAGCCGCGGAACAGATCGAAACCCTAAAACCTGAACCCCCCAAAACCCTCAGTTCCTGAACCCTAAGCGGCAAAAACTCAAACCTAAACCCTACACCCTGAACCCTAAACCCTAAACCCTAAACTCTAAACCCTAAACCCTAAACCCTAAACCCTGGCCCAAACACCTGGCCTGCTTCTGCCTGCGCCGCGCTGCCAGCCTGGCGGCGGCCTGCACAGTGCGCACATCGGGGCTTGGGGGGCAACTACCTCATTTGGGGGTTTACGATAATTAGGGTTTAGGCTTTAGGCTTTAGGCTTTAGGCTTCAGGCTTTAGGCTTTAGGCTTTAGGCTTTAGGGTTTAGGGTTTAGGGTTTGGGGGTTAGGGGTTAGGGGTTAGGGGTTAGGGTTTAGGGGTACCCTATTGGGGTCCTGTTATAAGGGAGTCCTACTATTTTGGGGTCTATTTTAGGGTCCCCTATTTTGCGTCAACCCTTATTTGGACTTCATGGCCTAAACCCTGGCTCTTAGGCACAGGTTCAATAGCCACGACCGCCACAGCTACCCCTAAACCCTAAACCTTAAACCCTAAACCCTGGCTTAGGTTTAGGGTTTAGGGTTTAGGGCTTCGGGCTTAGGGCTTAGGGTTTAGGGTTTGGGGTTTCGGGTTTAGGGTTTAGGGTTTAAGGGGCTCAAGGGTTCCAGGGATTCCTAGTAACCCAGTAACCATATTACAATAAAGGTGACCTTTTGGGGTTGGTTACTTTCTAAGGGAACCCAGAACCAACAAAAAGTAAAGGGTCCTGGGCTACCAAGGATTAGGCCTTGAGGTGCTTGAGGGTTCAGGGTTTTGGGGCTTCGGGGTTGAAGGTTTTTACGGCTTCTGGTTTCAGCCCTAAACCCTAAACCCTAAACCCTAAACCCAAAACCCTAAACCCTAAACCCCAAACCCTAAACCCTAAACAAGCCTAAACCCTTTTCCGGTCTTTGGGTTTCTGGGTTCCGGAGTGACGTGCTTTGAGGGCTTGAGGTGGCTTCGGGCATCAGGGTCAGGGTGTACAAGGCCGAAGGGTTGTAGGGTTTAGGGTTTAGGGTTTAGGGTTTAGGGTTTAGGGTTTAGGGTTTAGGGTTTAGGGTTTAGGGTTGTAGGGTTAGGGTTGTTCCTGGGCTTAGAGGATCACCGACTCATTGAAGATCCATGTATTATATGGAATATGTATACATGTAGGTGTCTAAGTTCAAATATACACGTATGCACTTAGATGCGATCTCTTTCTCTCCATCTTTCTCTCTCTTTCTCAACCCCCTGCACGCTTCAAGCCCTAAACCCTAAACCCTCAACCCCTGGGCCTGACGATCCAGAGCTTCAAAGCGCAGAATCTTGCGGTGGGCACGGTCCCATCGCCTGGCTTCGAGGGGGGGTTTGTTTCATGTAGGGTTCAATCAGGGTTCAGGTAGGGTTTAGGCAGGGTTCAGGCAGGGTTCAGATAGGGTTCAGGTAGGGTTCAGGTGGGGCTGAGGTAGGGTTGAGGTAGGGTCAAACCAACCATGAGACCTCAAGTAGAGTGTCTGTAAACCTGCAGACCTTGCCCTAGACAGTAAAGCCTACTAGCATCCCCGAAACCTTAAACCCTAAACCCCTAAACCCCTAAAACCCTAAAACCCTAAAACCCTAAAACCCCAAAACCCTAAAACCCTAAAACCCTAAAACCCTAAAACCCTAAAACCCGAACACCCGAAAACCCGAAAACCCGAAAATCCTAAAACCCTACAACCCTAAACCCCTAAAACCCAACCCTGAAACCCTCGTAAACCCTCAACCCTAAACCCTAAACCCTAAACCCGAAAACCCTAAAACCCAACCCTGAAACCCTCGTACCCCCTCGACCCTGAACCCTAAACCCTAAACCCTAAACCCTAAACCCGAAAACCCTAAAACCCAACCCTGAAACCCTCCTAAACCCTCAACCCTCAACCCTAAACCCTAAACCCCAAACCCTAAACCCTAAACCCTAAACCCCAAACCCTAAACCCCTAAACCTGAAGTTCCGGCTTTGGGGCTTTTCAGGGCTTCGGGCGCCACCCCAAGGCTCCTGACTCCTGAGCCGAGAACCCACGAACCTCTTAGAGGAGTAGGGTGTAGGGTTTTGGGTTTAGGGTTTAGGGTTCAGGGTTCAGGGTTCAGGGTTTTCATGTGGTGAGTTCTCAAAATCGTGGTCCCTTTTTGGGCGCACCCAAAAATAAGAGGGGCCGCCTTATAAATAAGAACCTCAATCGAACCCGATTTTCGAGACGTGACCATGTGTCCTGCGATTTCACTTGCTTCGGCTTGGGGTTCCGGGCTTGTAGGATTTTTAGGGCTTATGGGGTTGGGGTTTAGGGTTTAGGGTTTAGGGCTTTTGGGTTGGGATGTTCCCTCTTAGTCTAACATCTCCTTAGCGGGGATCATAGTAGCCCCTGCTACAATCCCGATGAAGGACTGTTAGAAAAGGGGGAACATCCCAGGTTGTCGGGTTTATAGGCTTTTTAGGGTTTTTAGGTTTTTTATGGTTTAGGTTTCCGACTGCCCACTCCAAGCCCAGGCCCATATACAAGGGATTCAAAGGGGCGCCGCCCCAAACATGCTAGGGTTTCGAGCCTAGGTCCGTGTGTGTTGAGAGGCTTCTCTCCAGCTGTGTTCCTTATAGACCTGCGGTCTTGCCTACAGCGTGCCTGTCTGCTCCCCAAAACGCCAAGAGGCCATATTAAAGGTTCATATAAAACCCTAAACCCTAAATCCTAAACCCTAAACCCCCCTCAAAAAAAAACAAAAAAAATAAAAACAAAAAAAAAAAAAGCCCGCACTAACGGTCCAAATTAGGTGGCAAGCAGGCCGGGTGTGCAGCAACAGCCAAGCGAGCCTCTGAGCGACGCGATCCTTCGCGCATTGAGCGGTTTCTATGTGGCTCCGGGCTTAGGACTTACGTCCAGGCGCGAGACGGTTTAAGGTAATAGGTTTGCGGTGCCATTCCTGACAGTCCCCGCAGCTGCGGACGCTCACGGAAATTGCCCTCAAACGCAAACCTGCCTGAATCCAAGGAAACCAAGCCGCTCCAAATCCGAACATTCAAGCCCTTCTCTGGTCAACCAAACAAAGGAGCTGGACCCTGAAAGCTGTGAGAACCGCACGAAAATAACCTGGACAGGATTTTAGAAACTTCGAGGGCAAGGGAGTGTGGGAATTCCTCCCACTATCCCTAAACCCTAAACCAGTCGTCCTCCCGCGAGGTCTTGCGCTGGAACTCGCCGCGGGGCCTTTTGCGGCCTTGCGAAGCCGACATGGTCTTAAGCCCAAGAACCCAACCCCTAAACCCTAAACCCTAAACCCTAAACCCAAGAACCCAACTTCCGGGGCTCCATTTACCACAACAAGTTTGGGGGGTGTTCTACCCTACATTTAGGGCTGTTTTAAACCTTGTGGAGGGTCAAGCCCGATCTAGAGGGGTTATATCCTACATTTCGGGGTTGTGCCCCTATATTTACGGGGCTTGTAAGCCACCAAGTTGTGGGGTTGGGGAGTCACAGGCAAACAGACAAGCCTAAACCCTAAACCCTAAACCCTAAACCCTAAACCCTAAACCCTAATCCTAAACCCTAATCCCTTGCAAGATCTGCAATATTTGCGGAGAGTCCTGCACGTGGCCGAACGCGGGAAGAGTTCGGCTGAATTCTTCGAGAGGGCGCTCTGGCTTGAGGGGGCCTTGGAGCCTAAACCCTGAGCCCTGCCCTGAAACCCTGAACCTAAACCTATAGACCCGAAACCCTAAGCCCAGCTCTAAGCCCGTTTTAGGGTTTAGCTTTAGTGGGAACATAGCTCTGATCCAAACTCAAGAACCCTTGATCTTGTCAAAAATGGGATGGTCGAAAAAAACCTAGAGTGCAACCCTTGGGGGGGAGGGGCTCTAGCATGTTGCTGTTTCAGGGTTCAGGATGTAAGGTTTTTAAGGTGCCACAAGGCGCAGGCTTTGCGGCAGAGTTTTACGCAGGGTTTAGGGCCTGGGGTTCCTAAGAACTGACCTATTGAGAGTAATATGATACAGCTATACTACCCATAACCATTCCTAGACGTCCCTGTGGACCCTCAAGTAGTTTTGGGTCCGACCTTGTGTCTAGGGGTACAAGGGAACATGTCTCCAGACCACTCCAAACCGAAAATCCCGAAAGCCGAAAACCCTCAGCCTCTCTGAAAAGCCCGTGGAGACTCCACATCACCCTCAGAACCTTATGCTGCGTATTTGCAACCAAGTACATGCCAAGGCAGTAAACGGCGGCATTTCCCCTTCTGGGTACAATCCAGTTCGATTCCTTGTAAACGGGACCCGTAAACCCCAAACCCCCAACCCTATCTTTCCCCCAAAAGTCTGACAACACAAGGCCTGCGACACTGCAGGGCGCCACACGTGTGGCTGCCTCCAGTGACAGGGTTTGAGGCCTAAGCCCGCTAACATGCCAAAGCCTGGTGGACCAGAAGCCTGACACTTCTCGAGGGGTTCAGGATTTGGGGCCGGGGCAGTTGCGCCGGAATCCCCAACCCCAAACCCTAAATAAAGAGCCCGCTGAGCATTCAGGAATTCGGTACTCTGTATATCTCCATCTATAAGCCTATCAACGTTTAAAGGCTTGTAGACGGCACCTAACTACCTGACGCCCTACTAAGCCCTGAACTCTAAACCCCTAGAGCCCGAGGCCCCGAAACCCCTAGACCCCCAAACCCTAAACCCTAAACCCTAAAACCTTTGAAACCCGTGACCCGAAACGCCGGAGGTCGCCTTCGGCCGCAGAGACCGCTCGAAGGCCAAAGCCTTTGATCTCTTGAGGGCTTAGGGTTTGAGGGCTGAGGGCTTAGGGTTTAGGGTTTAGGGTTTAGGGCTTAGGGTTTGAGGGCTTAGGGTTTTTGGGGCGGGTTTAGGGCTTTAGTTTTTGGAGGTTGGGGGTTCAGGGTTTCGCTTCTGGGGGTTGCTGGTTCTTGGGTGTTTCGGTTTGTTGATGCATGTGTACCTAGAGTGGAGGTGGAGGTAGGGAAGCTACAGCCATCATTGGCGATAACCTGATTGGGTACATAAAACTACCCATGAGCCTTCGATACCAGAAACCCTAAACCCTAGAGTATGACCGGCCACTTGTTTGGTAGAAGGAGAGGGTTTAGGGTTTAGAGTTTAAGGTTTAGGGTTTAAGGTTTAGGGTTTAAGGTTTAGGGTTTAGGCTCACGGGAGTCTCATGAGTAGCTCAAGCTGGGGGATAAGTCGGTTGTTCCTACTTTTTGCGGGTCCTACAATCAGGATTACATGTCTCCTAATTTTGGGAAATGCCCAAGTACCGAAGTCACTAATCCGCTCAACCCTCAATTCCCTCAAGCCCTCATGCCTGAAGCCTACACGCCGATTCCTGACCCCCCCAGTTGCCTCAAAACAACAACAGCAACACCACTGAAACCGGCAAACCATTCAGAAATCAAAACCCTTGAAATCATTTAAGCAACCCAAAAGGAAAGTCTAGAGACACCGAAATGCTTCAGAGAAAAGCAAAGCTCAAAATAACTCTGCAAATCCTAATCAACTTTTCAAAGAAGGGCAAACTTATGTTTCAAAAAATCCTCGTTCCTGAGGCCCTGGCAGCCTTCTTCCCCCGGTGCCTGGGGTGGTCCTCCCGGAGCATGGCCAGCCTCGAGTTTCTTGCTGGGATTGAGGGTGCGGTTTCGTGGGCCTTGTGCCCGGCTTACGGATTCAGGATTCATGGTCTGGTTCAGGGTCTAGACCGTAGACTCGCATATCCCCGGCCTGCACTTTCAACCGCCCCACCTCCCCAAACCTTAGGGTTTCGGGCTTTTTTGATAAGGGATGAGGCCTTCGGTTTTAAGTTCTCGTTCTTTGGGCTTCGGCTTTGGAAGCTACGACTGTTCCTTGCAGAACTGAGGTTTTTCCCAAAGGGACTCCGAAGGGCCGGCCTTGAGGCCCCGATTCGTTTTGGGGTATATATATTCTTATATTGTATTCTAAATATTATTATTATATATAAAAATATATATATATATATATTATGTTCCATTATATATTGTGTTATAAGGTCCAAGGATGCTGCGATCACTCTCTTTGTGAACCAAGCCTGGTCCTCGGAATTGTTCTTGGTATTGGCCTAGACTCGAATCACAAGGATGGGGTGGCAAAGCATCCTGGGCTCGGCGGCCGGTTCCACCGCTCTAATCGCCGCTCTCGGAAGGGACGCGCGGCCTCATGCGAAGGGAGGCAGGCCTAGGGTTTCGGGTGGGGATGTTCGCCCTTGCACTAACAGCCCTTCATAAGGGGATCCTAATAGGAGTACTATAATCCGTAGGAAGGACTGATAGTATAAGGTGGAAGGAATATCCGAAGTTTCGGGCTTTAGGTTCGAGAGTTTTGGGTGTTGTTGGCTGTTAGGGTTCTTAAGGACTTCGAAGTCAGGGGACCCCATGACGACATCGTGAAGATTGTTGTCTACAGCCCGGGTCTCAGCAAGGTTTTTCAAACCTCCCGACAGCAAAAGAACTCGAGCCATTTCAAGGCTCAGCTTGCTAGGGCTTCATGGGGTATGGTACCCTCCGGAACCCTGAACCCTGAACCAGAACCCGCCCACCATCTGGGATAAACCTGGACTGCCACCGGAATTCACGTTGCACATGAAACCGACGTAAGATTCAGCTTTAAAATTCAGGGCCTGCTTTACCTCCCCGAGACTGAAACTGCAGCTCTAGGGTTTAGAGTCTCACGTCTAGGTTCCAAGAGTATTTGGCTCGGGTGCACTGGTATTTCAAAATGTACCACTGTCAGTTGCACGCGCCCAGCCCAGATTTTCGCACGGCGCAAACGAACGCATCTCGTCAAGCGATCTTCGAGGTTCGCACTTAGAGTCCTGACAGAAGCCAGGGCCGAAACACTGCCTCTCACTGCCCATGAAGCTTAAAATCGTGCAGAAATCATCCAAAGGACTTCCGAGCAATCTCAGGAAGTTCCAGGTACAGCGTGAACCAATGAGGGGCTTCCAGTTTAGATCGACAGCTCTTGGGATGACAATATGGTTTAAGGTTTGAAGTTTGAAAGCCTAGGATCTAGGCCACGATTTAGGGTTTTAGGCCTTCTGCGTACCTGGCAATTCCTACAGACCCCGGCCCGAGGCAACTTGCGACAACCAAGTTTTCGAAAGGCACAAAGGATGTAAACTGCTGACAAGGTGCCCAAACCTTCCAAGCAACCTTACATGACAACTACAAGTATTCTGTTTTTTGCTTGAAGGAAATATCTTGCTTGAAGGTATAATTCCTGTACTTCGGCTGGTGGGAGATCTAGGCAACCTAAACGAACAGGATGCAGCCAGGGGCATCAGGCCCAACAAGCTGACAACTGTAAATCAGGGACGCTGCGTAAGCTGCTTGACATTACGCTCTGTGTATATGCAAACCACAGAACCGGAAACATTCCAGGTGTACATCTGAGCAAAACCCGACTTCCAGGTCGTCTCGGGGATAGAATTCCCAGAAAGGGCAACACCGGATCACCAAAGAGAAAAAATTGATGCATGATGAAGACGAAAATGGTGGTTCTGACCCTGAAAACTTGAACCTGAACCCTAAACCCACCCAGGGTCATAAACCTTAATCCCTTAAACCCGGCAATCTTTCGAGGAAAGACAAGAGCCCTCGCTCAGATTCCTCAATTGTGCTTATTGCGCTGCTTGGGTTCGCTGCTGCACGTGATGGCGACGTCTTGGTGAGGTCCCTCTCCGTGCACGGCCCTCTGCATGCTCAAGGCCGCGTCAAAGTGACTCTCCGCTGATTCCAAGTCGCCCTTCTCCTTGCACACCCTGCCCAGCTCCTGCAGCGTGACGGCGACGTCTCGCTGAGGTCCCTCTCCATACACGGCCCTCTGCATGCTCAAGGCCGAGTCAAGGTGACTCTTCGCTGATTCCATGTCGCCCATCTCCTTGCACACCCTGCCCAGCTCCTGCAGCGTGATGGCGACGTCTCGGTGAGGTCCCTGTCCGTACACGGCCCTCTGCATGCTCAACGCCGAGTCAAGGTGACTCTTCGCTGATTCCATGTCGCCCATCTCCTTGCACACCCTGCCCAGTTCCTGCAGCGTGATGGCGACGTCTCGGTGAAGTCCCTTTCCATGCGAATCCATCAGCTCGTTCAATGCCGAGTCAAAGTGACTCTCCGCTGATTCCAAGTCGCCCTTCTCCTTGCACACCCTGCCCAGCTCCTGCAGCGTGATGGCGACGTCTCGCTGAGGTCCCTCTCCGTACACGGCCCTCTGCATGCTCAAGGCCCAGACAAGGTGACTCTCCGCTGATTCCAAGTCGCCCTTCTCCTTGCACACCCTGCCCAGCTCCTGCAGCGTGATGGCGACGTCTCGGTGAGGTCCCTCTCCGTACACGGCCCTCTGCATGCTCAAGGCCGAGTCAAGGTGACTCTTCGCTGATTCCATGTGGCCCTTCTGCCTGTACAACCTGCCCAGCTCCTGCAGCGTAAAGGCGAGCTTTTGGAAAGGTTCGTGCGCCTGAAGCTGCATGCGCAAGGCCGACCAAAGGCGATACCCCGCTGATTGCAAGTCGCCCTTCTCCTTGCACACCCGGCCCAGCTCCTGCAGCGTGATGGCGACGTCTCGGTGAGGTCCCTCTCCGTGCACGGCCTGCTGCATGATCAAGGCCGAGTCAAGGTGACTCTTCGCTGATTCCATGTCGCCCTTCTCCTTGCACAGCCTGCCCATCTCCTGCAGCGTGATGGCGACGGCTGGGTGAGGTCCCTGTCCGTACACGGCCCTCTGCATGCTCAAGGCCGAGTCAAGGTGACTCTTCGCTGATTCCATGTCGCCCATCTCCTTGCACACCCTGCCCAGCTCCTGCAGCGTGATGGCGACTTCTCGGTGAGGTCCCTGTCCGTACACGGCCCTCTGCATGCTCAAGGCCGAGTCAAAGTGATTTTCCGCTGACTGGAAGTCTCCCTTGTCCTCGCACACCCTGCCAAGCTCCTGCAGCGTGATGGCGACGTCTCGGTGAGGTCCCTGTCCGTACACGGCCCTCTGCATGCTCAAGGCCGAGTCAAGGTGACTCTTCGCTGATTCCACGTCGCCCATCTCCTTGCACACCCTGCCCAGCTCCTGCAGCGTGATGGCGACGTCTCGGTGAGGTCCCCTTCCGTACACAACCCTCTGCATGCTCAAGGCCGAGTCAAGGTGACTCTTCGCTGATTCCAAGTCGCCCTTCTCCTTGCACACCCTGCCCAGCTCCTGCAGCGTGATGGCGACGTCTCGCTGAGGTCCCTGTCCGTACACGGCCCTCTGCATGCTCAAGGCCGCGTCAAGGTGACTCTTCGCTGATTGCAAGTCGCCCTTCTGCCTGCACAACCTGCCAAGCTCCTGTAGCGTGACGGCGGTTTTTCGGTGGGGCACGGCCGTCCGAGTCTGCAGGCGCACGGCAAAGCTAAGCTGACGCTCCGCTGATGGCAAGTCGCCCTTCTTCTTGCACAACCTGCCTAGATCACGCAGCGTCATGGCGATGTCGTGGTGAGATCCGTGCATGCTCAAGGCCGCGTCAAAGTGACTCTCCGCTGATTGCAAGTCGCCCTTCTCCTCATGCAACCTGCCCAGCTCCTGCAGCGTGATGGCGACGTCTCGGTGAGGTCCCCTTCCGTACACAACCCTCTGCATGCTCAAGGCCGAGTCAAGGTGACTCTTCGCTGATTCCAAGTCGCCCTTCTCCTTGCACACCCTGCCCAGCTCCTGCAGCGTGATGGCGACGTCTCGCTGAGGTCCCTGTCCGTACACGGCCCTCTGCATGCTCAAGGCCGCGTCAAGGTGACTCTTCGCTGATTGCAAGTCGCCCTTCTGCCTGCACAACCTGCCCAGCTCAGCCTGCGTGATGGCGACTTCTCGGTGAAATTCCTCTTCGGGTACCTCTCCACGCATGGCCCTCTTCATGCTCAACGCCACCTTGAGATGGCTCTCTGCTGCTTCCAGCTCGCCCTTCTTTTCGAAGATCTTGCTCAGGCTAAGCAGTGTGCGGATGACATATGTGACATGTCTGTGATGTCCGTCTCCGTACACGGCCTTCTCCATGCACAGTGCCCGTAGGGAACCTGCGGCATCTTCGAGCTGCGCAGCTTCTAGGCAGCGGCGGAGGACTTCCCCGTCCCAGAAAGGCTGCACATCGTCGCCGTTACAGAGCTGGCAGATGCAGCTGTTGCACCAGTCCATGCCACATGTGCGGCACCCCAGCCCCTGTCCGTTTACCGGGCTCGCACAGAAGTCGCAGATATATGAAGGTGGTGATGCCGTCAATGCGTGACCCTGGTGGCACTCGCGAACCAGATTGTCCCGCCAGCTGCGTGCACTCTCCTCACAAATCTGTTGGCGCCGCACTATGAAGCCATCGCCCTCGTCAACCGGAAGCAGAGCTGTCACAGCCGTTGCTTCTATCCCCGCCGATACCAAACAATCCGAGTAAGGGCGCCCGAATCGAGAGGTTCCAGGCGCCATCTCCGTGACGCTGAAAGTCTCCGAAAGCTCCCCGACATCTGCAGCATCGCCGACTTGGATGCTGACCCGGATCGCACTGGTGACGTCGATAACTTTCTGGAGTGTTGCGACGACGTCTTCCACGCAGTCCTGTCACCGAACAAGAAAGGAGATGCTCCGTGGCACAACTTCGGCACGATGCTTCATGATGCAGATACCAGCGCGCACGGCCTGCCTGGTCATCCAAGGAGCCCTCGCCGGTTCCATCGACATCCTGATGGATATGTTCTTGGAGTCCTGCATCCACCTAAGTTGAATCCCCATGTGCACTTGCTAACATCCTCTCACACATTTGCTACGTCGTCAAGTACCCTGACGACCTCCAAACGATACTGCTCCATCACTTGCGCGAGTCGCACTTGGGACTGAGCTGAGGAGGGGCCGGGAGTATTGGGTGGGGTGGGGAGCGGCGGGGCCCGCATGTGTGGATGGCCTGGTACAGTAGTTTTTCAGGTTATTTCCAATACATTGCAGTGGTGGGTCTAGGGGTGCAGTCGGGATCAATGAACGAGGTCCGTATGCTCCGTACACACTCATACACATACTTTGGTTTGGTGTTTACCGTGTTCCTATAAAGCAGGCTCAATTCGGGCTGTGTGTGCCTTACTCGGGGTGTATAAATACAGCCAAGCTGCCAAGACAGGGTTTGGTCGCAGCCGGATCTTGCAGGGCTGACGCTGGTC